AACTAGGCGAAACTTGTCAAATTTTTTGGAAATGTAGGTGGGAGTAAGGGAGATGATTGGCAGGAGCCTGTCACGTGGGTGGTCACCAGATTACGCGTACATGAGAATATTGGAATATTAATATTATCAGTTTGAAACAGGTTATCAGATTGGAATATTAAACTAATATCGCGATCTAATAAGACAAATGACACAACTAAGTGGCAACAGATTAGCTAAACAAAATATTCAAATTCATCCTTTCTGTAAAACACAGATTGGACAGTGGTAGCACGTGGGAGTCACCCTCCCGTGAACTGTCCCAGCCCATGCTCTTGAAATAGTAGAATCACATTCAGTGAAGTCTTGGTCTGAGAAATTAAACACTAAAGTTCTTGTCAACACTGAGGCACATGAGTTACTGTAACTATCACTATGTACATATAACGGCGTATTTGAGCGAAGTGCAATGGTGAAAAACATTTTACACTAGCATAAATAATCAGAGCTTTGAAGTCCAGGACACGGATCATGTCCATAAGTCCACAATATTACAAAAGTCTCGATATAACAATAAGAAGATTACGAAAATGACAAATATAAGATCAGTGCTTTGAAGATCCAGGTAACACGGATCATGTCCATAAGTCTATAAAGTTTCAAAGACACTGGTAAAAATGACACAATGAGATAAATAAAGATAATAGTACTATGTACAATAATACACTTTCCCATTTGCTGTTATGGAAGATGCCTCTTGGGCGCCTGCTGCATTTCTATAGTAGGATCATAATTTATCAGATTACGGATATGTTCGTATTGAGAAAGTTCATTTTAGCATAGAAATTGTGGCTCGTGGTGAGAATTTGATCATCGATGGTCTTATTTTTAGTTTTTTTTATGTATCTGCAGGTTACGTACGAACCAGGGGAGTCAACAATTTGTCTGAGTATTTTGTTCTGAAGACCTGTAGTTTGTGTCTATAATCTGTACACAGTGGCCCAGATAGGCACTGCAAAGTAGGGTGGGTCTTATTAAGCTGGTATAGATCTTCTTCTTGAGACTGATATTAATTAGCATTTCTTCTATTAAAGGGTAAAGAGACATTTTTGAGCAGCGGGGCTTTGCGCAGGCATACTCGTGGTTCTTTGAATACAGCTGTGAGTCGAAGACCACTCCCAGATACTTGGTACTGAAACAATTGCTAGGGCTGATCATTAATTTTTATATTTACATTACAGGAGTGAACTTCCGAGACGTCTGAAAAAGGAGAATTTGGCTCTTTGACGGATTTACTTTTAATTCCATGAAATCATAATAGTGTGCTATGATATTTACTGAGCTTCAAGTTTATCTACATACAGCGAGCTAAGTTTAGCGACTTGGTTAAAATTGCTGTGTCGTCGGCATATTTCACTACTTTTGCATTCAAAGGAACCGGCTATCATTCGTGTAGATATCAAACAGAAGCGGTCCCAGAACACTTCCTTGAGCCACTCCTTTTAATTCTTTTCTTGAAGAGAGAGAGTCATTAATTTTTACCTGAAAAGGTCCTGTTTTTTAAGATAGCTTTCATGAGCTTAATAAAACTGATGGGCAGATGAACAAGGTGCAGCTGTAGAGTTGGGTTGAGCCAGAGCGACGCGAGATACTTAGCAGAAGTAGGAATGACGTCATCTCACGGCAACCAATCAGCTATCGGCACGAATCGCTTTCAGATGACGTAACATTGTTTCTTTTTTGCATCTCATTAGGTGAGACAGTCCGTTTTCATGCAAACAGTGGCAGCAAGAAAAATAATAGAAGAACTACTATGTTATAAAAAATAAAGACTAACTAAATAAACATTCAAGAGGAGAGATGATGCATTAAAAAAATTTAAAAATAAGCTATATTTTCCAACAATTTCAACTAATCTCACATCGTTTAACGAATGGATAAAATAAAAAAGCTGAATTCCCAATCAAGCCATTACGGTCTTCTCGGTCATCTACGCAGTATCGTAAGCTGTTAGGAGGTCCCCTGCTTTCATCTACGCTTTTAAAATCATTACATATATATATACAGTACATAAATAAAAATACTGTGTGTAATGTTATATAAATGGTTTTTTTTTTTTTTTTTTTTTTTGTTATCCAGATCCAAAAACAATTTCTCAGCATGCACTAACATTTCGAATCTTTATTTGGTAATTGGTTTCACACTTTTGCAGGATTAGACAGTCTAATAATTGTCACTGTTTTTCACAACTGTAGATACCGCCATTCTTGAAGTATAATAATAGCAAAGTTCCAGATATATATGCCATCTTCATACTTTTTAACAATCTCTTTCACTTCCATGGTGATACTAATCATTTTCTTAATTGTTGGACTCTTCCTATTAACTTTCCTAAAGCTCACTGTAAATGGATTTACAAAATACATAAAGTTCATGGACAGTCATAGCATTGTCTTATAAAAGTTAAAACAAAGGTAGAGAGCACAGTCATGACTTGCTAAACTCGAGTTGTATTTCAAACAAGTATCTTATACCAAACAAAATTTTCACGTCAAATCAGGATATATATATCAAGATGGACTTATTTCAAAGCAGACATATACCAAGGTTCCACTGTATTTTAATTTCAAATTGTATTTTCTATATAACTGAAAAAAAAATTAATTGATTCTTTAAATATTGCACATTTTATCTATAAGTAGAGTGCATTTTTCAGTTACTCTGATATGAATTTATACTCTAACAACATAGAGTTAAATGATGCTTTGCTGCTCTAAAAAGTTTAAAATTTTTGATATTATATGGTTTTTAAGTATCGAAAATTACTGTTTTTGTAGTGTTTCCTGGTGCCTAAGCCATACCAGAATTCAAAGCAGCCTCCTATAAGTGCATCAGAGCAGAAGCGGCTATTAAGAGTTCATTTTCCAGATGCAGAGAACAAAATAATCCATAACATAGGGTGTTGTAAACCAGTGATTAAGCTTTTAAAGGTTTGTGGTGCATAACATCTAAATATGTGTTTGTACTGTTCAAATACCTAATGCAAATTATATTTTAGAAACATTGCATAACATTCATTAAGCTTTTCCCCTACTTTAAATAAAAAAATTTTGTCATTTTTTATGTTTCATTCAAATAGTTGTTGAAAACTGTACATTCAGTTGAAAAAATCACTATTAAAATAATTTTTTTCAACTGAAAGTTCTAACACTGTAGGATTTTTAGCCATCTGAATGCTAGTTCAATGTCGTCATTTTATTCATAGTTTTTTAAGAAATACTCACAAAAAATATTGCAACAACAACCATATTAGATCATAATCTGAAGGTAAGAATTTTTAACCATATGCATGCCAACCGAATTTGCTGCCTAATTATCTTTTTCTTTCTTTAAACATATATAAAAGAATATTGTGTTTTATGAATCTCATGGTAGAGGTTTTTTTTTTTTTATTATTTATTTATTTATTTTTTTTTTGAAAGCTTAGTCATACTGTTTCCAAAAAAATGCTTCTTTGTCATAAGAATGCCACTTTCCATTACGGAAATTTTTTGTAATAATCTAACGTTATAGACTATAACTTTCAATGAATTCAAATAATTCTTCTGGAAAACCTGCTTGAAATTGAAATGCAACCACCAAGAAAGAGGGGTCAGAAATTTATGCAAATTTAGAGTAGTGCACGTGACTGAGTTATGCGAATGATGTGAAATGCGCAGCTCTCCGACACACATGAAGGACGATATAAGGAAAGGAACGTGCAGAATGGGCAATATTTGTGTTGTTATTTCTGCTGGACAAATTATCGAAGAAAGTTGGTTTTTGTCCCGGAGGAACGTGTAATAGAAGAGAATGCAGCTGCCGTCAACGAAGCCATTTCCAGCAGATAGACGATTTTACGAAGGGGATGGTGATCGGACTGAGAAGGGGGGGTTGGTCCTTACGTCAAAACACAGCTGATGCCAACATGGATGCGAGCACGGTGCATCGGTTATGGCGAACATGGTTGAAACAAGGAAATGTGGGAAGAAGGAGGGGTGGGTGCAGGTTCAGCCAGAGTGATGTCAGCATGCGTGGATCGACGCGTCCACCGCAAGCTGTGGCGGTCTCACAAGTTATTTGTACCACGATTCTGCAGCATGTGCAAGATACCCTGGATGTTCCCGTGTCGACCAGAACCATTTCCTGTCGATTGGTTGAACATGGGCTGCACTAATGGCATCTGTAAAGCCCCACAGCCATTGACCCCACAGCACAACGTTTAGAATGTTGCCGGACTGGAGCAATGTGGATGACAGAATGGCGAAGCGTCGTGTTCTCAGATGAGTCACGCTTCTGTTTATCCAGTGACAGTTGCCGCATATGTGTGTGGGGTTGACGTGGAGACAGATCTAATCCGGCAGTAACTGTGGAATGCCCCACCGCATGACAACGTGGCATAATGGCTTGGGGCACTATTGCCTACGATTGCGGGTCACCTCTAGTTCGTATTCAGGGCGCTATGACAGCCCAACGATACTTGGATAATGTATTGCGGCCAGTAACGATCCCCTACCTTCAGCGGCTGCCTAATGCAATTTTTTACCAGACACACAGTGCTCGCATCTGCCAACATGCTCTGAAAGGTATACAGATGCTTCCCCGGCCAGCGTACTCTCCTGACCTGTCACTAATCGAACATGTGTGGGATGTGATTGGACGCCATTTGCAGACTCTGCCCCTGCCTCATTCAGAAGATGAACTGTGGCAAATGGTTGAAAGGGAATGGAGAGCCATCCCTCAGGACACCATCCGCACTCTTATTGACTCTATGCCACTAGACGTGTTTCTTCGTGCATCGCTATCCGCGGTGGTCCTACATCCTACTGAACTGACGCCGTTCTCGTTCTGTATTCTGACTATCATTTTGAAATAAAGATCACTTATTGCTGCTTGCTGTCTCTGTCTTTTTTCCAAATTTCATCACTTTCTGACAACTCCTTCTTGGTGTTGCATTTTCAATGTCGAGCAGTGTAACTTCCAATGAATAAGATCTGTTAAAGTTCCACTACACACATATCATAGTTAAATAATTCATCACATCTTAGTGTTATATCTGGTAGTTGAGTAGCCTTCAACTATGTGTTTTTTTACTATCTAATTAGAGGTTAAAAGACTAACTCGTCATCATATGTAGCAGTTTGTTTGATGACTTAGGCAATCTTGGAAATCCAAATGCAATATTGCTTTATTTTAACATGGCTCAGTAGGCCTTGATCACAGCTTCAACTTATATCATCTATAGTTTCAAGTATTGGAGGCTTCTAAATTATGCTATGATTTCTCCATTATTTTCTTATGAAAAAAGATATTATAAGAATACTTGAGAGAGAAGGTTTTTCATAAAATACACTGTGCTAGTATCTGAGACTAAATTGTGTTATTTTCAACTAACTACAGAGAGTATCCATTAGTTTGGGAGTATCATTCACCAATTTCATATTGAGCTTTACAGTTTACCGTTCAGGTTCTGCCATTAAAAATTTGTTTTTTCCATAAATGCAGAAATTTTAGATTTAGTTAGTTGTGAATTTATTAATTCATTGAAAGTTCTGATAAAATTCATTGGTTTTCTTTATTATTTCCTCTTATGGTTTGATTTTTTTTAGAAAAACTGCTGTTGCTGTATTATTATATACTGGTATGAAAAATTTAAGAATGAGACCTTTTTTTTTAATGTAATGTCATGCAGAAGTGTTTCATTTCAACATAGATTGTACCTAACATCTGAAAATATGGGGCAAGTGAGCAAAACCATTCAAATAAGGAATAAAAAGGATAAAAAGACTTTCTATTTAAAAAGTGTGATTAAAAACTTCTGAGCATAATGGGAGAGAAGTCACGAATGTCAATGGGTTAGGCACCTGGCAATAAAATGTAGTCTTTAGAAGGGATATGATCATCCCTGACTTGTGGTGCAAAAATTACAGTTTTTTTTTAATGTTGAAGACAAGGTTATTGAGGAGCTGTTGAGGCATCACAGCCCATTCTTCTTCTAGGGCAGCAGAATCATTGGTTGTGGATGGTTACATGTGGCTATGTGTCTCCTGAGAAGGTCCCTTACATGTTCAATGGCATTTAAGTCCAGGAATCATGCAGGCCAATCCATGCATTGTGTATCTTCACTCTTCAAGAGCTCTATGACAGGAACTGTTTGTAGAGATGTGGCATTGTCATCCGTGAAGAGAACGTGGACCAGCAGCAGCTTTAAGTAGATGGACCCTATAATATTTACAAAAATTTAGTGGAACCCCATAAGTATTGTGCAAATCCGACACATGTGTGAATGAAACTCTCAATTTTTTTCACTTTAATATACTATTGCAATTTTAGGTCATTAACTTTAATTTCTAATTTTAAGACATAGAACAATGTGAATATTTTAAATAAGTAAAAAGATGTCATGAAAGCAAAATGAACGTTTATATTATAAAAAGAATGCGTCGAAACGTTTTTCATTTTTTCCTTTGTCTGTATTGTCTTATCTTTATCTATTTTCAGATACATTGTGTAAAAATATTTGGTAATTGTAAAATCATTATAATAAGAAATATCAAAACTGCTAAAATTTTTGGCGGCCCACAATTTAAGAAAACCCTGGTATAGAATATTAAATATGGTCTGCTGCTGGATCCACTCTTTGTATATCAGTATTTCTCAACTTTATTTTAATGAAAGATATTAAATAACCTGACTTCTTCCTCCCAAAAAGAGGTATGTCTATAGGCAGAACTTAACTTCTAAAGTTAGCAGTACCAGAGCTCTATGGAAAGTTGTCAGAGAGAAAGTAAACAAAATTAAGAAAAAAAAAAAAAAAAAAAAAAAAGAATAATAAAATTAAAGGAAATTTAAATAAATTAAAAAAAATGAATGCTTTCAGATTTTATATTACACCCAGAGAATGTTTTTTTAAATGTTTTGTGTGTTACCTTTATTTATTAAATATGTTCTTCGCAATTAAACCATAAAATTCAATTCAGTAGCAATATCACAAAATATTTGAAAGAGCATATCTTTAGCATATCTGATACACAATCTCATGTGCAGAATATAAAATCCCCCCCACAGTGTTGCCATTGCTGGAGTTTCTTAATCAAAAACTCGTAAATGCTTTACAAAATATGAAATAGGTAACAAAACAAATTCCAAATTTGGGCTTCCAGATGCTCATATTTGGGTGGAGACGTACATTATTCAAAATTTGATGGCTCTGGGTACCGTTGTTTTATCACAGTGGGAGAAACATATATACATTTATGCAGGTTCTTCATTATTTAATATCTTTAAGTATAATACTAATATTTGGTGGCAACAATTTAAAAAGTAATTCGCCGTTTATGCCAGAACGAAATTAATAACCCTTCTGGGCAAATTGCACCTTTGGGCTGATTAATTGCATTCAATTAATAAACTAATCTACTGGAGTTAATGTTATTTGAGGCTTGGACTTTTTACTCAAAGACTATGAAGTACTGGAACCAAGGTCCAGTGGGCTAGAATTTAAGCATATGCATAGGAAATTTATTTCCCATTTTATTTTATGCAGCTTGATGGGAAAGTGTCACATTATATGACATCACATGAGCTAAGAAATATTTATAGTTTTGAAAATAGGAGGAAGAGCTTTGTTTATTCCATATATTAGTAAACGAATAGACCCAAAACTCATAATAAAAATTATATAAATAAAATTGTTAAATAAAAAATAAGTTAAAATATAATTAAATGCTAAGGTGAAGTGTAGCAGTTACTTTCACCAAAATTGCCTAGAAATCTGAATGGTCAGCTGAGGGAGGTTTCACTGCAGAATTTAAAATAAATTAAATGAATCATTTAAAACAATTTAAGAATAATATCAAATTGTTGTAAATAACTAAATTTTAAAATATCATTCTTGTAACATACTGTGCACAGAATATGATTTTTGCTGGCAAAAGGCAGATTGCCTTGG